AAAAAAAAAAAGAGGTGATGGACTGACTAAAAGGGCTGTGGCTGTCTTGTGGTGTCAGGCCTCCAACCCACAAGCTTGTGCTGAAGAGCGAGGCAAATGCTCTGCCGCTGAGATAAGCACATTCGCAGCAACTCAGGTTAAGAGCACTGCTTGTTCTTCCAGAGGTCTTGAGTTCAATTCCCAGCAACCACATGGTGGCTCACAACCATCTGTAATGAGATCTGGCGCCCTCTTCTGGCCTGCAGACAGAACACTGTATACATAATAAATAAATCTTAAAAAAAAAAATGTGCTCGCTTCGGCAGCACATGTACTAAAATGATCAGTAAACACATGAAAAATGTTCAACATAAGCTATCATCAGAGAAATGAAAAAACGAAACTACAATGGGGTACCAGTTAAGACTGTTAATTTTTTAAAAAGAAAGAAAATGGGTTGAAGCAATGGCTCAGCAGTTAAGGGCACTGGCTGCTCTTGCACAGGACCTGAGTTTGATAACATGGCAGCTCACAACTGTCTTTAAGTCCTTCTAGGGGATCTAATGTCCTCTTGTAGCCTCTGCCAACACCAGGCATGGAAGAGGGCAACACACAAAAGCATATACATACACACATACACAAAAGTGTAATTTTTTAAAAACCTGTTGATTTTGACAATTTCTACATTGTTCTTTTTGCCTTATAACCGAATTATTGAAGGCCTTTATTTTCTAAAGACAGGTCTAATGTAATGTCCTTTCTATTATCAGAGGATGACTTGGTCTCTGATCTTCCTTCTCCACCACCCTACGTGTTGGAATCACAGGCATGCCTTGCCATTCCTGGTACCACATAAGTTTTACATTTTGCTGGTTAAGCTACATGTCTACTACTAGTTAAGCTACATGTCTAGTCCAGAGGGTTGATTTTATAGCTACAAATGTAAACTCCTCTTTTCCTCTAATTATGCTCAGAAAACTGGTATAGAAAAGGTGTGCATACAAAGGCTGGGATGCTTGGTGGCACACACCTTTAATCCCCAACGCTCAAGTCAGGAGACAGAGGCAGGCAGGCAGGCAGGTCTCTGTGAATTCAAGGCTAGCTTGATCTACAAAGATTTCCAGGACAGCTACCTAGTGATCCTATTAAAAAAGACAGAGGGAAAGTGGGTATACATACAGAAATGCAAGTAATTTTTTTTTTTTTTTTGGTTTTTCGAGACAGGGTTTCTCTGTGTAGATTTGCGCCTTTCCTGGAGCTCACTTGGTAGCCCAGGCTGGCCTCGAACTCACAGAGATCCACCTGGCTCTGCCTCCCGAGTGCTGGGATTAAAGGCGTGCGCCACCACCGCCCGGCCCATCACCTCTTTTTGGCATGTATTCTTATGTGTAGAGTTGACTTGACTCTTTAACAGTCGTTGAAGTGAGATAGCAGCTCCGATCACAGCTTAGAGAAACGCTAACTCTATCAGTGCACCATCCAAGACTGCCTATTATTTTTAATTTCCAGAACCCTGCCCCCACCCCACCCCACCCCTCACTCCTCAGCTCTTGGCAGCATTTGTGAGGTTGAGGATGAAACCCAGGACTTTGGGTACGAATAGCAAGCGATGTATCTTGTCTCTAAAAGACATCCTCAGCACTTGGTTTTCTTTTTTAATGTATAAAAGATTAGATGCTTAATTTGAAAGCTTGACTCAATATTCTAACCTCATTTAATGCCACCACCGCCCGGCAAGAAATGTAAGTATTTTTAAGCTGAAATGCTCAAGAAAAAATGTCTTCCTCATGTGGTAGAGAACAAAAAAAAAAAAAAAAAAACCCAAAACACTAAATATAAGGGGATGAGGAAGGGTGGAATATGAAACCAAGTTTTAAAGAGTATTCTTTGGTTTTGATGTTGAATAAGTGCATAAAATATAACCAACACCGTAAGTGTAAAATTGAATGTGAAGCCCCACAGTTTCCATTCTGAATGGCAATTCTAACTATATAAAATTATTCAGTTGTATAAACATTGGGACTGCTTAGTTTTGGTGTTTTTATTTATTTGAAAGTTTGTAAAAATCAAAATAAAAACTAACCAAATTGTGTGGCACTGGCATAGGATATATAGATAAAAGAATCTCAAAGTTCAAAATGAATCCCTTACATGTATGGACAACTGATTTTGTCCTGAAACAATTCACTGAAGACTGTATTATTCTACAGTTGAGAAAACTAGATGTCTACATGAAAATAAATAAAGGCTGGGCCCAGACCTTTTGCCATATACTAAACTCAAAATGGAAGCCATGCATGGTAGCACATGCCTCTAATACTCACGAGGCCAGAGTCAAGAAGATAGCTTGAGGACACCCTGGGCTACAAGCAAGTCCCAGGCCAGCCAGAGGTACCAGAAGCCCTTCTCAAAAACCAAGGCTGGCAAGGTGGCTCAGCAGCCAAGGGCACTTGCTGCCAAGCTTGATGACCCGAGCCTGATCCAAAATCACACATGGTGGAAGGAGAGAATTGACTTCCGAAGTGTTCCTCTGAATTCCGTGGCTGAGGAATACAAAGAGGACAGACACAAATGCAGGCACAACACACATACAATCTCTAGGAAAAGAAAAGAACCTGTTGTGGAAATAATGAGAAAACTGGAACCCTTATTCATCACTGGCAGAAATGTAAAATGGTGTGGAAAACAGTTGGAAACTTCACAAAAGATTAAAAACAAAGAGTTGCTCCAGGCAGTGGTGGCCCACGCCTTCAATCTCAGCACTTGGGAGTCAGAGCCAAGCGGATCCCTATGAGTTCAAGGCCAGCCTGGTCTACAGAGTGAGATCCAGGACAGGCACCAAAACTACACAGGGAAACTCTGTCTCAAGAAAACCAAAAACCACAAGTTACAGTATGATCTAATAATTCCACTCCTATTTATACCCCAAATAGACAACACACAGGAACTTATAATGTCTCAATATTAGAATAGTAAAACATGCCCATCAACCTACTAACAATAAATGAATATGCAAAATGTCTATACATGTCATCCACCACAAAACGCAAATTGATACATCCTCATAACTGAAGGACTCTGAAAACTACAAATTATATTTCTATGATTTTATGATTTACGTAAAATTCTTTAAAAAAAACCAACCTGTGGAAGAGAATTGCTCAAGGTATGGGCAGAGGAGTTTATGAGGATTGTTGAGTTTGTCTGGACCTAACAGTGTAAATTAAATGTACACACTGCACTGAACTCCACTCCACTCCCCTGAGAGGGGAAAAAGGTTAAAGTGACTACTGTTGTCTGCACTCATCATCCCATTTACTCAGGACACTGAAGCAGGAGAATAATTTGAGTTCTAGAGTTCAAGGACAGCTGGATAACACCGTTAGACCTTGGTTCCTAATCCTCCCCAAACTAATGAAATCTGTAAACTTGGTTATATCAGTGGTTACAGTGAGTTGCATAATACCTGGAATCTTTGTTTGGTAATCACAGCCAACAGTATTTCTTCTTTTGCCATCAACATTCCCCTCCCAGATCTAGGCACTGTCCCCAAGCAAGCAAGCAAGCAAGCAAGCGCGCGCGCGCGCGCGCGCGCACACGCACACACGCACACACACACACACACACACACACACACACACACACACACACACACACGAGCACAAACAATGCACTCAATGCTCTACCAATTACCTATGTGTTTGGCAAAGGAGTACACATGTAATACCTTCACTAAACGAATGATGCAAACACTTTATGTGCTCCCATACTGACAGATTAAAAACACATACATTCTCTAAGCACAAACTCATTGTCACAAATAACTTTCTGCTTAAAGATAAAATTTCAATTAATAACCACAATGAGAATTTAGTTATTTAATACAACCACTAATCTAATATTATCAACAAAATCTAAGCAATTACATCACAAAACAAGGGTTATAGTCAGCAAACATGCATTAATAATCTATACAACTTAACATTACCCCAGAAAAGGAATTGGATATAAAAGTTCTTATAATTTTGGTGGTTTTTCAAATCTTATGGCACAGATTACCAAAAAAATTGTAAAAACAGATTTCAAATATTTTCAATAAAATGGTAAAAAATTGAGTAAGCCTTTAAGTTTTCATACTTGGCTCAAGTTAAAACGTCAAGCTGGCCCGATCTGTCAAACCTGACAGATAAATATGGATAATGACAAGACAGACTTGAGTTACAATGGTACTTGGAGCTCTACTTCATCAAAACCCTTCTGGGTTAAATTTCTCAATGCAAGCATGTCTTTGTAAATACTGTGAGAATATAAACTTGGAGGCATATGTAGAAACAGGACAGAAATGAAAAATAAGACATAAGTCAGTATTATTTGGCTCCCAAACTATCAACACTGTCTCAATACAAAATGAAGAATATCTGAATGACTACCAATCGCTGACATTCTTCTACAGAACTGTCTTATTATTATCAAAGCAATGTTCACGCTCCATTAACCTGCTTCTACAGAGTGTAATTAGCAGGGCACTAAATTTATAAACAAGTGGCAACTCAAAAGTCAAAAGAACTCTTTAACCAGAAGCAACCTTTCTTTTCCATGTTTAGCTCTGAGTTAGGAAGAAAAGAATTAGGGGACGCTTTGAACATATCTTGTACTTTTCATCAAGGCTAAAGTGCAAATAACTCCGTATCTCTGGTATTTTAATAGGGAGAAACATCGAACATATACAATAAAGGAACTGAACAGTAAAACTAATACAGAAGAAAAACTCTTCAATGTACAACTGAGGAATACATTTTATCACCAATCTAAACTTTGCTTTCTTCGGTGAAATCTGTAAATGAACCATGTTCTCAAAGAACTCTGTTTGATTCTCTCCCCATGACCAGAAATTCTAAACTTATAGGGAAAACAAATAAGAAAAAACAACAACAAAAAAACCCAAAAACATTGCATGACAATGGACACCAAGTTCATAAAGAACCTCTTTTTAAATGAGATATTATGTAAGAAAATACCATGAAAATAATAATCCTATGAGAATTGTTTAAGCACAGTAAATTTGAGCCCCGGTCTTCATGAAGATACTACAGTTTATATAGAAAACTATAAATATACAAGACTCCAAGGGAAAAAAGTCAGAATACATAGTCTAACATTTTTCAGGCTACAAAACTTTTGAAAGGGGGAAAGATGGCTGATGGCCAACTGCATCTTAAGCCAGGTGTGGTAATGCACACCTATAATCCCAGTACTTGGGCAGGAGTATCACTCCAAATTCAAGACCACCCTGGACTACTCAGCAAGTTCCAGGCTAGCCAGGGATATAAAATGAGACCCTGTCTCAAAAGATCAAAAACTGGAAGGGAAAAAAAGGGGGAAAAGAACACAAAACCACAAAAACCTCCTAGGTCCAAGTGTCCTCCCCAAAGGAACTATCCTTTCTGTGGCATATAACTTATTTATACTATTAAGGGGCAGGGGAGTACTGAATTACTAGAGTCTTAAATAAGGGAAAATGAACCTCATAGTGTAAACAAGTCTGGCTCAGAAAGAAAACTGAACATCTCCCAGATCTGTCCATGAAAGTAATGATGGTGCATCTTTAGCATTAAAGAAATAGGTTATAAAAAGTTCAGTCTCAGAAATGATTTTTCAAAGCTCATTTGTGCTCCTTGGTGGGTGCGTAATAAAGTTCCATGGGCTTGTTCACTTTCCAGTATTTCTCACTGACCAATTCCAAAGAAAAAGAGCCATTTAATAC